GTTAACACAGCTGACATATCACAAATTAACATAGCTGACATATCATATGTTGACAGAGCTGACACATCACATGTTAACATAGCTGACACAGCACATGTTAACATAGCTGACATATTACATGTTAACATAGCTGACATATTACATGTTAACATAGCTGACACATCACATGTTAACATAGCTGACATATTACATGTTAACATAGCGGACATATTACATGTTAACATAGCTGACACATCACATGTTAACATAGCTGACATATAAATGTTGACATAGCTGACACAGCACATGTTAACATAGCTGACATATTACATGTTAACATAGCTGACACATTACATGTTAACATAGCTGACACATCACATGTTAACATAGCTGACACATCACATGTTAACATAGCTGACACATCACATGTTAACATAGCTGACACATCACATGTTAACATAGCTGGCATATTACATGTTAACATAGCTGACATATTACATGTTAACATAGCTGACATATCAATGTTGACATAGCTGACACAGCACATGTTAACATAGCTGACATATTACATGTTAACATAGCTGACATATTACATGTTAACATAGCTGACATATCACATGTTAACATAGCTGACACATCACATGTTAACATAGCTGACATATTACATGTTAACATAGCTGACATATTACATATTAACATAGCTGACATATTACATGTTAACATAGCTGACACATCATATGTTAACATAGCTGACATATTACATGTTAACATAGCTGACATATTACATGTTAACATAGCTGACACATCACATGTTAACATAGCTGACATATTACATGTTAACATAGCTGACACAGCACATGTTAACATAGCTGACATATTACATGTTAACATAGCTGACACAGCACGTGTTAACATAGCTGACATATTACATGTTAACATAGCTGACATATTATATGTTAACATAGCTGACATATTACATGTTAACATAGCTGACACATCACATGTTAACATAGCTGACATATTACATGTTAACATAGCTGACACAGCACACATATCACATGTTAACACAGCTGCCATATCACATGTTAACATAGCTGACATATTACATGTTAACATAGCTGACACATCACATGTTAACATAGCTGACATATTACATGTTAACATAGCTGACATATTACATGTTAACATAGCTGACACAGCACATGTTAACATAGCTGACACAGCACATGTTAACATAGCTGACGTATTACATGTTAACATAGCTGACATATTACATGTTAACATAGCTGACATATCACATGTTAACATAGATCATGTATTAAGACACGTATTAAGAAAACAATGCAATCAATGATTTACTCACCAAGTATAACATTTCTAAATAAGAGAAGAATTTCTTGGCTTGTAAATGGTACACCATAGAGAGTAAATCTGGTCTGATATAAATGTGGTTCACTAGCACAGTAATCCAATAATAACACTAAACTACAACATATACAGAAGTACAGTGGTCTACTGAATGCTGTGATACGGTTGTGACCCTGTAAGCAAACAACAACATATCATCATAGGGATAGACAGTGTACTACAGAACACAACATCATCAGGCCGTGTAGCGTATTGTAAATGGATATGTACATCAATGACGTCCTTTCTTCTACACTAGGGGACACGATTAATGTTAACGAAGTGAAGGGAAAACCAGCCAATTTTTTACTACAATTTCATGTTTCATTTGTCTCTAGAAATTGTGCTTATGCATTTGAATTTCAAGGTCACCAACCCAGCATAGTTTTTTTTCACAATTTGATCAAGTCGTGCAGCCAATGGTAAATTAGATCCATGAGGTCCAAAATTAATATTACTGTGAGAAAATACATCATACATAATGATACAACAAAATTCTGGCAAGAAAAAACATGGCGCCCAAAGTTTAATGTTAGATGAATACAGAAAACAAACAGATCAGCTTCACAAAATTCCCACACATTTGTTGTGACAGTATAAAAACTCACATGCATAGGAGAAGCAGCATCAGGTTGAACACTCTGAAATCAAAAATACATAAAATTAACTTGTGAACACAATAGTTATTAATAAAGCATTTATCGGATCATTTAGCTATCACAGTAAGACAAATAGTACAATTCAGACTGTTCAAATTTCAAAAGCAACCTCATTCACCCATCATACAGAATGCATCCCATAATGCAACACAACACCACTTACCTTAAACAATGAATATTGACAACTCCCGATGACAAAACAGAAGAGAAAAATCCAAAAATCTTTAAAGTACTCTTTTATAAGTAGATAATAACCCAATGTTGCCACCATAGTAGCCAGCAGTATAGCGACAACATTCTCAGCATAAGAACGGTTTCTACAGGAGACGGAAATTAGCATTATAATTTTTCATTCATTTCAGTAAGTAAACTTAGCAACACAATATAATTGATTTTCTTACATCAGTTAATCTACAACACCCACAATTACTAAAAACTCACATTGTGACAGTGCAGTCTGCAGATAATATATTTATGAGTCAAGATCAAATAGAGTAAATCTATAGTGTGAGTTGACTGTCACAAACAATAATATATCTTGATATATCAGCCACATTCTGAATTTTTAAATTGACATGTGAGCAGATATAATGGAATAAAACAAATATTTAGATGGTAAAAATAAACAAAAAATCTGTCTGCTAATATAGCTCTGCTGTTTTAAAGAAGATGTTGAAAATATCACTTTTTACCACAAAATTACAAAAATTGTAATTATATACTTAATATCAAACCAATCAGACTTGATATTGATATTGTCACGAAATAAACAAATCTGAGAGAGGTCCAGCTGAGGTACCTATACGTATGATATCAAAGCAATGGGATTAGTGGTTTTCAAGAAGAAGTTTGACACCGACAACAATAGACAATCAGTAATACGATAAGCTCTACTTCCTTGACAGCTAAAAAGTTGGCAATGTCAAATGACGACAAAAAAAGATGACGACCTTTCCCATTTATTAAACTATGTTCAAGATAAAAAAAAAAGAAAAATAATCACCTGTCAAGCAGGGCCATGAGTGCCAATCTATCAAATCCAATCATAATGTATTTACATGGTAAAACCCAGAATTTATAATTATAGACAACTTTTGGTAGGACTGTTTTATCCTTGGATTGTTGTCTGTCTGATTTATTGGAAGTATTTTCCTGCTCTTCAATATGGTATTGTAACAAATCACCATATATTTCACGAAGTGCTCGTCTTTCTTGTTCCAAATCTGTATCACGGGATGAATGATTAGCTTGACTTTCGATAATGACGGTGGAGTTTGAGTCTTCACTGCTAGAATGCCTACAATGACACAATGGTGCATTACTATTACTTTGTTGCATTTCCTGGGTGACAAATGTTTGTATGGTCTATGTGTTCTGGCTGACAAGTGTTTATCTTGGTCTATGTGTTCTGGCTGACAAGTGTTTATCTTGGTCTATGTGTTCTGGCTGACAAGCGTTTTTCTTGGTCAATGTGTTCTGGCTGACAAGTGTTTTTCTTGGTCTATGTGCCCTGGCTGACAAGTGTTTTTCTTGGTCTATGTGTTCTGGCTGACAAGTGTTTTTCTTGGTCTATGCATCCTGGCTGACAAGTGTTTTTCTTGGTTTACATGTCCTGAATGACAAGTGTTTTTCTTGGTCTACATGTCCTGGCTGACAAGTGTTTTTCTTGGTCTATGTGCCCTGGCTGACAAGTGTTTGTATGGTCTACATGTCCTGGCTGACAAGTGTTTTTTTTTTGTCTATGTGTCCTGGCTGACAAGTGTTTTTCTTGGTCTACATGTCCTGGCTGACAGGTGTTTTTCTTGGTTTATGTGTCCTGGCTGACAGGTGTTTTTCTTGGTCTATGTGTTCTGGCTGACAAGTGTTTTTCTTGGTCTACATGTCCTGGCTGACAAGTGTTTTTCTTGGTCTATGTGTCCTGGTTGACAAGTGTTTTTCTTGGTCTATGTGCCCTGGCTGACAGGTGTTTTTCTTGGTCTATGTGTTCTGGCTGACAAGTGTCTTTCTTGGTCTATGTGCCCTGGCTGAGATGTGTTTTTCTTGGTCTATGTGCCCTGGCTGACAAGTGTCATTCATGGTCGTACTTAGCAGAGCAGCCGCTTCGCTGCGATCTATT